CTCGATCGGTACGCCTCCACATCATCGGGCCCCCGGTCATTACGGAACATTAGCTTGCCGAAGGAAAAGCTCATCGAGCTTGTTTCTTATTTCCACAAAAAATTCTGTTGGAAGCTTATCGCACTCGCCTGCGTGCTCAGCGAGATGGATCTCGTGTACCCGCAATGCAGTCAATACCTGTAGTGCTCACCCCTGGCGAAAGTGCTACAGATGACGAAGCGCTCTTTGAGCGATGGATGCAACGGCACCGGAAACTTTCCTCACTGTATAGCTTACAGTTGAGCCACAAGAAAATGGACGTGCGAGTGGAGCGACACCTCCCATTCGAGTTTGCCAAACTCAAGGCACGCCGTCGACTTCCTTCAGATTGTCGCCCTGCGACGTATGGGTCAACTCCTAACGCTCCCGCGAGCTCTGTGTTTGCGACCGCAAGAGCTCAGGACCACTGCTTGAGCTCAGCTCCTGGCCCTTCTACCTTCCTGGCTATTGCCGAGAAGCGCGGAACGCTCTGATCGTTCGGATCAAAAGCGTCCACGGCGTCTGGGCAATCTTGCCGAAGTGGCGTCTCAAACTCCCACGAGTTTTTGGAGTCGGGATATCCCCGTCACTTCACCAGATGTTGGGTTTGACCCTGGTGACGACGTCGTCTCACTAGACGTTTCACGTGATAGTGGACATCACCGTTCTCATCGAGAAGAGTCGGTGGTGGGCGGTGCAGACCGGGTCGACCGCCTTCCGGTGACTTGTGATGCTCTTCGAGCCCTTGAGGACAAGGCCCTTCGTGATCGGAGCTCCGCTGAGCGTCATGCTGAAGTGGTATTTTGCTGCGCGGACGCTCTTGATGATTTGAAGCACGTCGTGCGCCGGCTGCTCCAGCTTGAAGACTACCATGCTCTGTCGAAGCGATTCCTAGCCGTGGAGCAGGCGAATGCGTCGCCGCATGCGACGGTGGAGCGCTTGGTGCCATTGAATATGGTTGTTGCACTCCATGCTCAGAACCAGTTGCTAGTTTAGCTTCTGGGTGGCTTAGGTCCCGTGGGATTGCTCCGGTGTCAACGCTTCTGACGCTTCTGCGTTCACTTGCGCTGGATCCCGGTACGGCTTGAGCAAGCCCACGTTAAAACACCGTGTGGGTGCGCATCCGTTTTGGAAGGTTCAGCGTATACGCTAGGCCCACCCTTAAACGGTTCGATAAACCGTGGACGAAGCTTTGTTCTGGAGATAGCAGAGGCTGCATGTGTAGGCAGGTTTTTAGAATTTTTATAAAACCAGGTCCCCGAGTGCATACTTCATCGCAAGTAGCTCCTTGTCGTGAACTGGGTAGGTCTTTTCTGAAGCTTTAAGCTGTCGAGATCCGAACGCGATCACCCGATCTCGCCCCTCGGCGTCTGCTTGCAGCAGTGCACAGCCGA